CTCCGCAGTATTGACTCTCTCCCCTTATTCAAAGCCAGACTTTACCCATCTGTTCCAGCTCGCTTATCTGTGAATACACTGCTCTTTTCCCTATCCATAATTGTTTTTTGTTCTCTGTTGTTTTATGTTCCTGTATCTGTATTTTGTATTTTCATCGTCTTTTTATTTATTTTTTGTATTATTTGTAAAGTGACCTTGAGTGTCTAGAAAGGCGCTGTTAAATAAAATGTATTATTATTATTATTATTATTATTTTCATACTTGTTACACACAGGTTAAATTCTGAGTGGACCTACTAAGAGCTGATTGAACTAACTCACAGCAGCTTTTATGGAATTAAAAACACAGCGTTTCCAAGCGAGTTAAGGGTTTGAGTCTGAGTTTGTTAAACCTGCTTTATAAAACGGGCCTCTGTTTTAAATGAGACCTTCAAATCCTGGCACTGTCACCTGAGATATTTCCCCTCTGAGCTTCATACTTCTCCTCCATGGTTTGGATCCTTTGATTGGTCATCAACACAGCAAAAGCTAGTTCAAGAAATACAAGTTAGTTCCTTTTTACACAAAAGAAAATCTGCAGTTTTTGTAAATAAAACATTTTAAACAGTAGAATGAAAGGAGAATGAAACCAATCTAAACTCACAGAGTCTGTAGATGATGATGAGAGCAGCAGCCAGCAGAGAGCCCAGAACCAGCAGGACGACTCTCTCTGATGGCAGCTTGGAGGTTCTGGTTGGGTTTTCATGTTGGGAGGCAGCAGCTTCAGCTGAGGAGCATTTAGAGGAGAACCAGATCAGAACCTGGAGCTTTCAATTTATAGGTCGGTCTATGTTCCTACCTTCACCTATGGTTATAAAATCTGGGTCAAGACCAAAAGGAACAAGATCCTGGATACAAAAAGCTGAAATAAGCTTTCCCTGCTTGGTGGCTGGGCTCTCCCTTAGAGATAGAGTGAGGAGTCTGGTCATCAGAGAGAGGCTTGAAGCAAAGCCTGTTCTACTCCACAGAGAGGAGGCAGCTGAGGTGACTTGGGCATTTTTTTCAAATGCCCCCTGGATGCCAGGTACGTCCCACCAGGAGGCGGTCCAGGGGACGACCCAGGATGCAACGGTGGGACTGTTTCTCTCTCGGCTGGCCTGGGAGCACCTCTAGCTTCTCCAAGAGGAGCTGGACAAGGTGTCTGGGAGAAGGAAGTCTGGGTGTCTCTGCTGAGACTTCTACCCCGTGGCTAAAGCGGAAGATGATAAATATAAGAACAAAAAAGGTATTTTATAGATGAGAACCTCTTTTATGTAGCTAATTTTAAGAACTACATCTACCATCCAGAAAAAAACACTATGTATGTTTGACGTCTTCATTTCACATCCGTTTTCTGAAGTCATAGTTTCTGCCTGAACTTTAAACAATTGATAATGATATTAACATATATCATTGATTCTTTATATCATTCTCCAATTAAAAAGCATAACTCTCTGAATCTTTACTTCTCATTTTTTACATTTGGACATCTTGTATTAAAGGTATAGTGGATGATGTTTTTTTTTTTCCAGGTGGATCATCAAAATAA